TCATCTCTGTTTCAAAGCCGAAGGGCCAGCACTGTCCGAAGACGTCTCCGTGGTCATATGGCCGGCATGACTCAACACCTTTTGTTTTGTTTCGAATCTGTATTTGAATTTGTATTACTTTGTCAGACATGTAGAAGGCAGCAGGTATAAATATAAATCAGCTCCCATTACTTGTCCCAGCTTCTGCCAACCTAGCAGTTCGAAAGCATGTAAAAATGCAAGTAGAAAAATAGGAACCACCTTTGGTGGGAAGGTAACAGTGTTCTATGCACCTTTGGTGTTGAGTCATGCCGGACACATGACCACGGAGACGTCTTCGGACAGTGCTGGCCCTTCGGCTTTGAAACAGAGATGAGCACTGCCCCCTAGAGTCAGGAACGACTAGCACATATGTGCGAGGGCAAACGCATTAACCCACGTGGTAAAAGGTGCCGTTCTGTATTTTAATCACAAATGCATTCCCTTATTTGCCGGTTAGGATTTCTCCAAAAGGGCAGCAACTCTGTGCAAGAAGGTTGCCCATTTGACATCTTCAAGAAACCATGTGCATTCAAGAAGTGCGGGGGGGGGGGGCGGGGAGAATGAAACCACCCCAAATAGGGACTGGGTATAGTCAGGGCTTGGCCTCGTGTGTGAAGGGTTTGAGAGAGGGAACATTCTGCATAGAAATGGGCTCGTGCGGTGTTCCCCAACCTCGATGACTTTCTGGGCTTCCACTCCAGAATTCCCCAGCCAGCAGGGCTTTTGGGAATTGAAGTCCACCGCTCTTAAAAGCCACCATGGTTGAGAAGCGCTGGGTGAAGAGAATTCCTGGCACCTTTATCTTCCCAAGAAGCGCCTCTCTTTCGCCGTTCAGTTTGCTTTGCTTGCGATTGCCCTCCGGCAGTAACTACAATCCCTTTGAACTTGGCATTTAAGAGAAATCCCGCTGCTCCTGGCAAAACACCTGCAGCTGAGAAGCCCCAGGGGCGGCAGGAGGCTAAAAATACGCCGGGGGAATCTTCAGCGAGACAAAAGGGATTGTTGCAGCTCCTTATAAGCGGCTGATTACTGAAAATCTGTTTCGCCGTCTCTTAACCTCAGCCGCTTAAAGATGTGTGGACTTTCAACTCTCAGCATGCTGGCTGGGGAATTCTGGGAGTCGGAGTCCACCTTAAAGGTGGCTGAGATTGAGAAACTCAAATCTACCTACAGTCTTTAAAAAAAAAAAAACACCACATAATTGTACTGATTGGAAAAAACATAAATACCACATTCATGGGACCTGCTGATGCTTCTCAGCCAGAGGGCTTGAAATAATGAAACAACACCTCCCATCGCACCAACTGAAGTCAGGCGGAAAAAAAGGCAGCTGGGATCGTTGTCATCTCTCACGGCGAATGACCTTCTTGGCGGTTGGCATCTCTTTCAGGATCATCTCTCTTATTTCCACTTTGTCGGTCGGATCATGGGGCTGGCGGTGTTCCACGGGCATTACATCAACGGGGGTTTCACCGTCCCTTTCTACAAACAGCTGCTGGGCAAACCCATCCAGTTGTCTGATTTGGAATCGGTGGATCCAGAACTGCATAAGAGCTTAGTCTGGATTTTGTAAGTATTCCGTCCGATAATCTATCGTGTTTTGATTGGGGCAGGAGGAGGACCAGCTCCAACGAAATAGACTTCCTGACCTCAAATCACTGGTGTCTACATAGATTTTTAAAGCTGTTTTTGACAAGGCAGATACTGAAGAACTTCCAAAAAGCACCCAGGGGAAAAAAAGAAAACCTGGGATGATTTTTATAAACCATCAGCGGTGACATTTCTGGATAACTGCTCCGTAGGATAAAGTCATCCTTGTACTTCATTAGAAACCTGTTCATCTGAATTCTGATTCTGAATAGATTTGGCTTGCTTGTAATGACTAAATTAATCTTCAGCCCTCGCTCGTAACAGAGGCATGAGAAAGTATTTTACATTTCTGGAAGTCAACCAACAGTGCATCAAAGGAATAGCTTTGGGAACAGAATTTGATCAGAAAATAGCTTTTTTAAAATTTTGCACTCCCTATGCTTCAGTTGCATAGGGATATTCCTGCGTGCGGTTATAAAACTAATTTTCTTTACGTCAATAAAGTGTCATAATCAAAAATAGCACCAGAGGTTTTTTTCCTCTGCAAGGAGGAATATTAAAAACTTCACGGTGCACCACTGCTTACTAAAGTGTGGATCAGCCATAGAGAGCTCTGCTCTTAGGTCTGGCTAAATAAAAAAAGTACTTTCACTTGCAGAAATGACTTGTAGGCATTGCAATTCTTGTTGACAGAGAGAATGACATCACTCCAGTTCTGGACCATACCTTCTGCGTGGAACACAATGCATTTGGTAGAATTCTGCAACATGAACTCAAACCCAACGGGAGAAATGTTTCCGTTACGGAAGAGAATAAGAAAGAATATGTCAGGTACGTATTCAGGGAAGGCTAATTTTGCCCCTCTCAATGAGAGGCTGACAGTCCAACAAGGTAGATCACACAAAGATACTACTACCAAGTGCAGGTAGTTCTCAACTTAAGACTACAATTGAGCCTAAGATTTCTGTTGCTAAGTCAGACATTTGTTAAGTGAGGTCTGCCCTATTTTACGAGCTTTCTTGCTGCAGTTGTTAAGTGAATCACTGCAATGGTTAAATTAGTGTAAGCAGGGGGTTGGACTAGAAGACCTCCAAGGTTCCTTCCAACTTCTATTTCTATTCTATTTCTATTTCTATTCCCATTCTCCATTCTATTCTATTCTATGCCAGCTAATCGGGAGGGAATGAAGATTTTACAGTATTCTTTCCCTGGAGTGGGGAGGGAATGGAAATTTTACAGTATTCTTTCCCTGGAGTGGGGAG